AAGGTGGCTAGCCAATCCCTGTCGCAGACATCTGCTCAGGCATATTTGCATTTGTTCAGCATCTACAGAACCCACCTGTGGTCCATACTGCAACTATGCTGAGTGGACCTTAGTTACAGTTTCTAGGGGAGTGCGCATTATCTGACATGATCAACAGTCTGAATAAGTCCAGTACGCTTAAACACTCGATCACGATGACTTGTGACTTTGTGCTAGGACAAATACAAATAGTTCCGTCTACCCAATTTCACTCACAAGGCTTGGGTCAACCGGTGGTATGGTTTTTCAGACACTTCCCATAGATGCCACATGCTGGAATCGTCTCTCCAGGCTCCGATGAAATTCGAACCCGGATCTCATGGTCGGAAAGCAAAACTTTCTGACCGCTCGGCCAAGATATAAGATCTAATGGACAAATAGAGACTAATGTTTTCAACAAGTTATGCTAATCATTCACGGATCCTTTTGAATGAAACATGAATTAGAAAATTCCCAAATGGTGCACCCATAAAATTCGACGACACCATGGAATATAGACTTTTTTTTTAAGACATTTACACGAATATACATAGTAAACGAAACACTGTTTAACTGTTTTCATTCGTTTCCATACAGGAAACTCTGGCCAGATGAGGGTGACAACGGATTACCTCTTCGTGTCTCTGTCCGGTTCTTGGTCAAAGGGACGGCATATATGTCGGAATATATTGATTGGTTTGGCTTGTTTTGTTCTACGGCATATCAACACTTCAATTTTTATTGATGCTAATATTTTTTTGTCTATATTTCTGAAATGAGGTATTATGTACATTATTTACATTATTCGGACTATTGTCCTCATCTTTGTCGTCATATTTATTACAACGTTTCGACCTTTCAGTATCTGTTTATATTTCTGAGATGAGGTATTATGTACACTATTTACATTATTCGGACTATTGTCCTCATCTTTGTCGCCATATTTATTACAACGTTCCGGCCCTTCAGTATCTGTCTATATTTCTGAGATGAGGTATTATGTACACTATTTACATGGTAGATGATACTCGGCTTTTGTGTATATACATGTTTGTGTGGACATAATTACGAGAGGTTTTATTTTGTGCGTTTTATTTTGTAGTTTTGTTGAAGTTATATTTTAGAGTACAGTTTGATTTAAGAAATTGTAGTATATTATGTGTATTAATGTTATAAAAGAGTTCTTTCATGTTGATTGTTTGATTTTGTATAGCGGCATACAAACACCTCTACGGGTCATTTAATGCCGAAATTTAAATATTATGGTTTCAAATACAGAAACAACATTGTTGGCCATTTTGTTGTAAAATTTATTATTGGTAATTCTGTTTTATAAATTTTAGTTGGTAATTTTTTCATATAAAAAATATGTTGTTATTTTTACTATATAAATGTATATTTATACTTACCTAGTGTTTGGGGTTCACTATTTAAAAATAGCTGTGACCCTAATATATGGTACCACCCCAGGTCAGGTTGGACCTGGGAACAACAGCAATTAACAGGTGGTCCCACGCTCCGAAAAGCCTCCGGATACGCTGCCTGATGTAGTTTATCGTCATATCTAAGACTACATCTTTCATGAGACTAATATCTTAATTAGTAATAAGTTTTATCAACTCTGTAGTCTAACAAATTTTAAAAACAGAATAATTGAGTGCAATTAAATAATTTATGTCTGCAAACAGGTAATAAAATAAAAGTAAAAATGAAATCGATATGAAAATAAACAAAAATAAAACAGGTAATAAAATATATAACAGATAAAAATAAAATAAAATATGCAAGAAAATAACCAAAAACGAAAAAAGATAACAAAAAAAACAAAGAACAGGTAAGAAAATAATAAAAAAAAAAACCGATGAGAAAATAAAAAATAAAACAGGTAAGAAAATGGACAAAAAATAAAAGAAAATAAAAATTAGGAACAGATAAGAAAATAAAAAAAATGTATATAATAGGTAAGAAAATGATCAAAAATAAATCATCCATGAAAATAACCAAAAAACCAGAAAATAAATTAAAAAGTAAAATAGGTAAGAAAATGAATAAAAATATAACAGGTAAGAAAATGGACAAAAAATAAAAGATGTAAGAAAATAAAAATTAGGAACAGATAAGAAAATAAATATATATATATATAACAGGTCAGAAAATAATAAAAAATAAAACATTCATGAAAATAAGCAAAAAAATAAAGCAGGTAAGAAAATAAATTAAAAATAAAACAGGTAAGAAAATAAACAAAAATATAACAGGTAAGAAAATAAACAAAAATATAACAGGTATGAAAATAAATTAAAAAGTAAAACAGGTAAGAAAATAAACAAAAATATAACAGGTATGAAAATAAATTAAAAAGTAAAACAGGTAAGAAAATAAACAAAAATATAACAGGTAAGAAAATAAGCAAAAATATAACAGGTAAAAAATAAATTAAAAAGTAAAACAGGTAAGAAAATAAACAAAAATATAACAGGTAAGTAAATAAAGAAAAATAAAAGAAGAAAATAATAAAAAGCAATGAATGAAACTCCAAAGTATTATTTAACTCGTTTTTAATTCATTTTTTTCTATGGATCTAATAAAAAATAAAAGAATAAAATTCTTTCTAAGTTTCATAAAAGCGTATAGAATACAAAAATATTTTTTTTTAAACTATTGGTTATATAAAGTTATTTTTAAGCAAACAATACCAGTTTTATTGCACTGTTGCTCCCGTATTTCGTTAATTTTAAGAACCTTTTCGCGCACTTCAGGGGAGTACAGGTAGAAAATGACTGCTAATGAACCCGACTGGAATTGGAACTCGGCCCTCCGATTTCTCATTTCGAGCCGCTAGCTATTACATTAGCCGCACATCCAAATTTACAGCGCCTGGTAATCCCGAGCGGTCACCCATCTAGGTGCTGACCAAGCTCGACGTTGCTTAACTTCGGTGATCGTACGTGAAACGGTGTTTCAATGTGATATGGCCGCAACCCGAAGAACAGTAGAAATATCACGCATGCGCCTTCGCGCAGGCACACACACACGCGCGCGCACACACACACACACAAAACTTGACAACTGACGACTACCGCGCATAAATAAACGCCATTTTATTACAAAATATTACTTTTACAAAATACGTTAATTAATCTTTAAATTTACTAATTTATTTCGAAACACATATCTGGGACAAATATTGGATATTTAATATTTTAAATATTTGTTGTTTAAATTTTACGTACATAATGGCAGTACGATGAATGACGAGCGAACGTAACAATGATTTAAAAATGTCTAAATTTATCGAGGTACCAAGGTAGAGACCTCATTAGAACAACTGCCATAAAAAATATTTATAGAAAAGACAAAGAGAAGCCACGTCATGGTGGTGGGAAAGGGACTTAAGTCGAGGTGCCAGGTCAGGACCGATAACATATTAAATCTTTCTTTGGATTTTGTCGGGAATCTCGAGATGGTACCACCAGACCAGATATGGCAGCAATATGTAATGCACGGACGAATGGTACATTTATAAATGTCCAAGATGGATTCGAGAAAATTTGTCTGACAAGGCACAATGAAACAACATTCTTAGCAGAAAACCTACCAGCTGATCCAATATAACCACACCAAATGTGAGACCAAGAAAGCATAATGAGTTATTTTTCTGGAGGTTAGCATCAGCCATGCTAATTGAAGGAAAAAGAAAGGATACTATATATATATAAATATATATATATATAGATAGATAGATAGATAGATATAAATTTTTATTTTTAGATATTTTTATGTTTATACGTTCTTTTTATAGATACAAATATTTAAGTAAATGCTCTGTTTATAATAAACCGTATTAACAACATTTACCGACCTAAATGTCCGAGATTTTCTATGACAATTTGAGGTTGATATACCGTAAAGCAAACCAAACCAAACCTCTCCACTAACGTTTACTCAGTCTTGGTCACTCTCAGTAACCCCCTTACGTCTGAGTGGCTTTATCGCCTTACTTGGTGTAAGATGATTTTCAAAAAAAGTAATGTTTAGCAAATTAGTCTGGTTGAACATTCCTACTGAGTAATGAGTTCGAATTTCACTGGGTGCTCTATATTTGTGACCTTGTGCCAAAACCAAGCAAAGTTTAGTATTTTAAGGGCAAATTTTTTTACATAAGCTGATGGTAGGCGTACTAATCTGCTTGATCATTACTAAAAAGAGTAATGAGTTCGATTCACACTGGGTGCCCTATACTTGTGGTCGTGTACCAAAACTAAGCTAAAATAACATTGGGCGCCTCAGCGTGGGTTAATATTCAGCAAGCTAGTCTGGCTGACTATTGCTGCTGAGTATTGAGTTTGATCCTCACTAGGTGTCTCATACTTGCTGCCTTGTGGCAAAGCTTTATTTAAATAATAAAATCGTCGGCATCAAACTGAAAGTATCTTCTGAAGTTGCCTCTTTGTTTTCACCTCAGTCTCCAACCAATCCACTTTGTTTGCTGTAACGATGTCAACCTTGAATTTAAACCACTAAAATAAACGAACCGTTGTATTTTTATCTGCAGGTTCGTTCTTGTGTACAGTGGCGGGAAGATGGTGAAATGCTGGGGATCGATGAAATGGTAAAACAAAAAAAAATCACATCTATCCCTAAACAGCAATGTTTGCTTTATGCTCACAAGGGAATTTAAAAGCCTCTGATCCTACACCCGGATATTGGAACGCGGATAAAACCCGTGCGAATTTGACAAACATGCTTCACAAACAGTTGTCTGTTTGCAAAGACGTTTCTTCGTCGTACAAAATTGGGGAAAAGGAGAGATAAAGTCAAGCTTAAAGATAACTTCACGTTTTTTGTTTTGGTATTAAAGGTGGACTTTCAATGTTTTTGACAGTCCGGGGGGGGGACATTTCATCCGCCTGTTCACATACAAATAGAGGATAATATATAACAAGCCGGACCAGAACATCTTTTTCTCCATTTGCGTGACTATGTCAGGTCGAATACATCCGACGTCGTTAAGAAATAACCGTGGTGAAATGGGTCTACCGCTATACTCCCTACTCATGATTTTCGGAACCTCGCTTTTTTTGGTGCTATCCGTAGCTGGCCAAAGTACCGTGGATGTAGATTTAGACCGTAAGTAATTTTTTTTACTTTTTTTTCTTTTACCCAATTATGTTTGGGAGATAAAAATGTATGAATCGTTCACGTCCAAGTAAAATCGAAGCGTCCGGGGCACAATTCGAAGATATATTGCGATTCTGTTTAGAAAAAAAATCCTGTAAATAATTAGATTAATACATCTATAAAATACACAATAACACTAACGATACACACACACACATATATATATATATATTTTTAAGACATTTTTATGTTTATATATTCTTTATATAGATACAAATATTTAAGTAAATGCTCTGTTTATAATAAACAATATTAAACAACATTTATCGGCCTGAATGTCAGAGAAATTTTCATAGAAAATATTCGTCCTCCGACAGGAATCGAACCTGTATCCTATACGGAACCATTTAGCCACAGAAGAGCGTTCGGCTAGCAAGGTCGAATTTACTGCCTTTAAACTTCAATCTTCCATGGATCTCTCGCATACATTCACAGTTTAAATCGGTTAAAGGCACGTCAGGCTATAAAGATTACGTGTCCTACGAAACGATTAATTAATTAATTAATTAATGGGTTTTATTTTTTAATCCGACATATGCTTATTACTTCAAATTGTTTTTTTAGAGGATACCCGCAGATGTGCAGGAGGCCACATTTTCCCTATTAAGTTTCATGCCTGTAGACGAAATAAATACAGTTTGAAATAAAACAGAGCGTCTACTAAAATACGAGTATCCACTAAAAATAACGTGTGACTTAATAAAAATATGTCAGACTAAAAATTATAAAATCCATTAATTTAGAAATAAGATGTTTTCCTTTAGTCTTTATTCATATTGTCCTTTTACAGATATATTTTATCTAAAATTGTATATATTTTTCTCATAAAGAAAATCACTCTGAGGACTTTATCAAGTGAAGGATGAAACATTTTAAGATCAATTTGACTTTATTCATATTGTCTTTTTACATATATCCATTTTAGAAATTTTACAAAAACATAAATAAATATGTATATACAATTTCTGGTTTCAAATTCTAATTTGAAATCCAGTAAATTATTTTTTTATGTACCAATATCAATAAATTTTGCCGAAAAGGAATTATCTGTCCGATTAATGACAAATGTATGTATAAAAGGTGTCATCTATAAGGCTAAAACATAAATTTTTTCGGTTCCAAAAATAACAAAAACAAGATTTTACCATCAGATCCTTAACAATAAGGATTGTTTTCTCAAAATTTTGGAATATTAAAATGATGATTACATTTTGGGATTTCAAAATGACATTTTCCGGACGCAGCAACCAATTTGTGTTTTGGAGAAACATATTCATCTTCAAAAATATATATAAATCTATTAACAAACGAAATAATAATATTGTAATCAGAGAAAAAAATCTTTAAAATATTTTATTCTGGATAAATATATTATCAAATTTCGTTTCAATTACCATATTTTATTGTTACCCCCACCCTTAGCCATTTTAATGTATATTATCACCCAAAGTGTGTGTGTGTGTGTCTTTTAAACTTTAAACTTGTTTTCAATTTTTTTTTATAATGGCTCCCTACCTACACCCTATTTTCTGTATTTACCCCCCCAATTTTTTTAACTTATTTTAAATTTGAAATCTTTCACATTCTTCCCATGGACCCAGTATATTTTTTTAAAATCGTAAGTAATATTTCGTGCCTGATGAGTTGGTAAAACAAAAACTTAAGCTCACCAAAACATAGGGAAAAATATAATTAATATATATTTCTTAGCCCTGTCTAAACATTGAACTTTATGCAAACACCTTAAAAGGAAATTTAGAAATATTTATTTACTGAAAAATGGAACGCGCATATACGATTGCTAATATCTAGTTATTTTTTATTCACCTGTATTCATATATATATATATATGGAGTTCCGTCGGTTTCGACATATGAGGATCTGCCAGCTTATTGATTCAGTTATGAAAGTTTATGCGCTAATCTTTTTTAAGATCCGCTGCCGATTTACAAACGCCACAAAAAAAGCAAGTGTGAGGATTGTGAGATGAGATCACTGTTAGATCTTGCTCTTGATAAGAACGAATCAAGGTAAACCGCCAGAAAACCAACACAAGTGATTTGATTAAAATTCTCTTGAACCATCACTTTTTCTTTATTTTTAACATTCAAATAAATACCACAAAAAGACAATATACCTCAGTTTTTTCGTGTAAGAGTTTTCCATCTCCTAGAACAATTGTTCTATTTGGTCAGCCCTAATATTTGCCCATAGTTGGGACCCTCTATTTCAAACCTGGGAACAACAGAATTAAAACGGTTCCACGCTTATATAAACAAACAAAGTTTTTGTCGGATTGATAAGTTTTTATTGTCTCTTATCCTTAAAATTTAAATCAGTTAAAAAAAAAAACTATTTTTTATTTTTGAAAGATTTTTTAACAAAGAGAATCATGTTGTGTTGACATATTTGTTAATTTGGCCGCTTTCAGCCAAATTTCAAAAAATAAATAAATAATTTCGTCAATTTAAATTTTTGAAATGCAACGAATTATTTTTTTTATGGTCGATATTAAATTTAATCTGTAAGCTTGATATTAAAACTGAAATAAAAACTTCAAGTCGGATTGTTTTTATTTTTAAAAATGTTTTAAACCCGTATCGCATTTCTTTTGAAGGTACGTATATATATATATATATATATATATATATATATATATATATAATTATTTTCCACTCTTCTACAACCCCTTTATCACAGACGAAACGTCACAAGCCTCTCACTGTTCAATCGCTATTTCCATGGAAAGTGCTCAGATGAACTAAATTCCTTAGTTTCACTAGTTCTAACCTTTACGGCTAGGACCCGCCATGCCACGCCCATTGTAGCGAACAGCCCTCATTCCCTTCGTATTCCATTGCTGAGAAGTAAGTTCCACCTGAGCAGCTGCTTCCCACTAACCACTGCTCTGTGGAACCAACTTCGAAAAAGATGGTTTCCCGATCACTACAATCTTAACCTGTTCAAGTTTAGGCTTAACCGTTATCTTTCTCAACTATCCGCATAAACTGTGCCTCTTACTCTGTAACCCTCTACCTTGAGTGGCTCAAGGGCCTTGTACAGAATGAGCCTCACTTTATATTTATATATATATATATATATATATATATATATATATATATATATGAGAAACGGCATTTCAGATCCTATTTATTAAGTCCGAGCAGCCTTCACCATGCAAACAAAAGAAATGATTGCTGCGTCTAAATGTATTCTGTGATTTATTTTTTCTGATTCTCTAATAGCACTTTTTTACCGTTTTTAGTTTTTGTGTACATATTTATATGTCTTGACCTCGATTGAGCACTGAAGAGCAAGAAGCTATAACCTGTTAGCCCCTTTTTGTTTCCTTGATGCTATAGTTTTTGTTATAGAAATTCAATTTTAACTCCGTCATGTCATAGTAGAAAACAATTAACAAATGTTCCTATCAGAATGGTTTCAATCAGTGTCAGCCGATATCTTGTAAAATGTGGAACCATCTGAAAGATATTACTGAAATTTTTCAGACAGTTATTGTTCAGATGATTATCAGCTAAGGTGAAGTGGACCTCACACGAACCATGTCGAATGATCCTGACAAAGTAGGTCACTAAGCGAAGCGAGATATATTATCTTTCACCAATAACGCGTACAGAAATAGGACGACCGTTTCTAAATATTTTTTGGAATTTAAAAGAAGTTAATAAAACCCCTACGGTAAAATGGAAAATATTTTAAAAAATAGTACTTGTAAATCTTTAAATGAACCCTGCTTCATATGTTTACATGAAAAATTACAAATAATCAAATTTGCTGACAAAGCATTAATGTTAAACCAAAGGAGTGAATTAACTGTAAATTGCTGACAGAGTTTATCTTTTACCTTAAAATATAGTTATTTTTTTTAAATTATGTATTTCTTATGGCTATAATTTATTAGCATATAATGATCCACCCTCTACAGGCAATTACCTTATTTTGTTTATTCAGCTTAAATATTGCTTTGTGTTAGCGTCCAGTTAGTATTATTAATATCGTATATAGATGTTCCACATTTTTAATTTTATCTACAAGTCCCTTTAAGAAGCTTCCTGAATATAAAAAAAATTCTGTTAACTTTACCCTGATTAACCCACCCCTCCCTTCAAAAAATTGAACATGTCATATTTGTCTACAATCACGATACATTTGTTGCTGACATATTTTCCACAATCGTCAATGATGACATATCTATGTTCCGGTTTATCGTGACATGAAAAAATAACTCACCCAATTCCACCCTCTGACATTACTTTTCTATTTAGCGTAGATCGGACATTTAATTGGTTAATCAAGACATACCCATAAGTCTATTTTTAATTCTGACCTTACATCCCTCCCACTTTAACTTCCGCAAAAGAGGTAAAACTTTGTTTTTAAATTTCCTTAACCCTTTGAGCTCTGACCACCGCTTTACCGATGGTAGTGAAAAATGACTTAATGCTCAGCCACCGGTTGAACGGCAGGTAAACATTTGCATCGTGTTTTGCTATTCTAGTGCATCAAGAGATGCAGTACCTGCTGGGTAGATTGACACACAAAGAAAGAATTCTGGCGATAAAGTGAACGCATGCAATCATACACTCTCCCTGTTAAGTATAATGCTTATATTTTTGTAACTATTTTTATATCTAACGTGAAACATTACATACCAATTATTTGCGAATTTTGACTCGGGAGCTCAGGCAGAAGGGTAAAAATTGTTCAGGAACGCAGGGCTCAAAGGGTTAAAAATCATTTAATCATCAGTTACTTATCATCGCCTGAAGAAATAGAATCATAGTACTGAATCATGAAAGCTCCTGTGCAATGATTTCAAAATGTTTTTATTATTATCTCTTATAATATATATATATATATATATATATATATATATATATATATATATATACATATATATATATATATATATATATATATACGTGCTC